TGGCTCAGTGGAATACGCACTTCCCTGGCAAGGACAAGGGCCTGAGTTCAATCCCTGGTTTCTGCAAAAAGGAAACAACAAAAAAAATTATTGGGGGGCTAAGGAAATAGCTCAGTGGTATAAGCGCCCGCCTGGCAAGTGCAAGGTCCTGAGTTCAATCCCCAGTACCAAAAATAAATAAAAAATAACTTATGAAACACTGCGATATTTAGCTATCAAGACAATGGTTTTATTTTCCCTTCCTTACTGCCTAAGGTATAAGATCTAATGATAAAGTATATATTCCAAAATCACTTTAAACTGACACAGAAAAGTCTGTCCTACAACAGAATTAAATGTTAAAACTCTTATTAAAACCCAAAAATTCACACAGACTTCAAAATTTGTTCACAAGCAATACCTCGTAAGACATGAGCACTTCATAAAGAAACTAATCTTCCAGATATGCTCAAAATACTTTAAATTCTTATGCACTATTATCTTAGAATATTGTTTAAAATAATAGATACAGATGAATAGTCTTCCATAAAAGACCTGCTACTACCAAGAACACAAGGCCCACAGTCAAACAGCTGTAGAAAAACGGGCCAAGTGAAGCAACAAATGTGCAAAACTCCCAAAATAAGGGCATTTTAAAAGTTTAACCAAAATATTACAGTCTCATTAATAAATCAGCACTACTGGTAAATTTGTCATTAATTTTTATAAGATGCTGAGGGTAAACAAAGATGTAGTTTACAGGTACATAACTATCCCCCTACCATCAAAAGTGAGTTACAGAGGCAAGGGAGAGGCCTCAACGAGTTATGAGTTACAAATCTATGCAGTGCAAGGTCTGTCACTGTATTAATGGAGGAAATGATTTTCTTTCAACTTATAATTCTCAAGAAAACCAATGACAGGTGGCTTCATGAGATCCTCAAGTGAAAATAAAGGCAGGGCGATAGGAAAGAGGGGGATCACAGGCAACCAGTGCTGCTCAAAGTAGAAGTTTATAGACAGATTTCTAAAGATTCTATATTTGGACTTATGCTACTCAAAGTACTAAAAATTAATACAAAATATATCAAGGATACTTAGTTTGCTGATAAAGTAAACTGTTTTTCAGTATTAAATGAGATTTTAGCATCTTGAGAAAGAAAAAAGGAAATTGAGCACTCATTCATGTGTGTAAGTGCACATGGTATACATAAACAATCGTGCCAGAAAACAGACAGGCTAAAGGACACTTTATTAGAACTAAATATGCACATAAGCTCTACATGCATACAATCCCATTAAGTGTCAGTGATGAAATATAGCTGTGAAACCAAAGAGCAGTTCAGCTGTTGCAATTTAAAAGGAACACAAGAAAAATCAGTAAAATAAAAAACGTAGAAACCATATCAATAAAAGGAACCCAAGGTATTTAAATCTGGAAAGAAGACTAACAGTACTCCTTCAATACATAAAAAGTTACAATGAACCTATTACCAAGGCACCGTATTAAGTCCATGTTACAGGAAAAGATGCTCTTACAGCCAAGGAGCGACACAAAGGCAGGAGGATTATAACACAGCAAGCTTATCACAAGAACTTAAAAAATTGGTGTGCCAAGCTGAACTCTGGTGTCAATTTTACACTATTACTGCAAATAAAAGTTCAATAAGAAAATGGGATTAACTAAAGACAACCTGAGTGAGCATGTGGAAGTGGACAACCAAACAACTAAATGCTGCGCTCGCAGCCACGCCCAGGGCAGTCAGGATGATGTAACCGTTAGAACGGCCCTGAGTACAGATGACAACACAAGGTTCATGCAGAAGGACAGCAAGTATGAAGTGATATAAAGTTTCACAGGCTCTATCTGAAAAAACAAAAGGGGTATCAGTGCATGTGAGCACAAACTGGGACACAGGTACTGAGCACACTCTGTGGAGCAAAAGAGATGTTAAATGCACGTGGGACATATGCAGAGGGCCACAGTGCTGGCAGACACCATTAATTCCAGCACACAGGAAGCTGAGGTAGGGACATAAGTTACTACAGCCAAACCACTAACAGGTACAAAGGCCAAACAACTAGTTGTTATAAAGTAAAAGTATAAACAAAAATCAACAAATTAAAAGTTATATAATTTGAAACACTAAGGCCTACAGAGTAAGAAAACTGCGAATTTCCTATTGATTATATTTATAAAAGCTTGTCAAGGACCTAGAGTGCAGCTCAGAGGCAGAGAACTTGCCTGAAGCGGCTAATACCTTGTGCTTGGTCCCAGCACTGCACATACAAACAGCCAGAACACCACTCTCAGGCTTCCTCAGTCCTCAATAGGTGAGGACAAGCAAAACTTCACATACAGCTAATTAATCCAGCCTAAGCTACTGGTAAAGGAAAGATAAGTTTCTCGGTCCTTCTTTGAAGCAGGACAACAGGATATCTGTGAGATTCATATTTAAAGCAAAACTGGTCCCAGAAATACATGAGGTAATCTGAAAACATGAAAGGAATAGAAGAAATACTTCCTCAGTACAGCCTAGGTGGGTAAGAAATCACCCAAATAACTGTGAGAGAGCTTCATCATCAGAACAAATTCTTAAAATCTTGCTTAAAGAACTTGATTTTCTCAACCCCTCCCTCCCTCCCTCCTTTCTCTCTTTTGAGAAAGGCTTTCACTATGCAGGTCAGGCTGGCCTTGAACGCACTTTGCAGCCCAGGCTGGCCTCAACTCCCAGGGATCTGTCAGGTCACTGAACCATACCCCATCCAGCTAAGAGAGAAAAACTGGCCAAGCAGATCCGCGATTCACACCTTCCCGGGTGCAGCCTCTAACAGGAAGCCAGCAGCAGCTGCCCCACACAGCTCAACCTGTAGAGAGCTGGTTCCACTAAAAACCACAAGAGATGCTGTGCTGCCGGCTCCCACGTGCCTAACCACCCTGTCTATTCCCTAGCCCTAGAACCCCCTACTCAGAGATCCAAAATTTTGTAGCCCCTCAACACTGTCCCCCTTCCTTACCTAAACTCCCCTATGTATACATGTTCTAGCCCCTTCTTCAGGGCTGATGGTCTTCGGACCTGGGCCCAGCCTCACCCAGTTACTCACTCCTTGCTTAAACTCCTCAAGTCTCAGTGGTCCGCTGTGCCTTTGTTTACTCTAAGAGGATCCTCATGCCTCAGCCTCCCTGTACTAGGATTATAGACATGCATCACCATGCCCTATGAAGAACTTGACTTTCAAAATTAAAAGACTGAAGAAATTAAGTATGCAGGCAACAGCAAAGTCGTATGGCCTGTTTCACTTGTCTACCCCAACTTGCTGGGTTAGTGTCTAGCACACTGGCTAGTAATAGCATCAAGCCTCAAAGGGTGGGGCAGTACACTGGAAACCCTAAGGGGGCACGACAGCGAGGCTCCTTGGGTAGAAACCCAAGATTTCACGCCTATGCAGCCACGAAGGGCAGATAAGAGGAAGATGATACCCTGAGAAAATTCTAGAAGACAAATGGAAAAACAAGGTTAATTCACCAATAACTACATTCAGTAGCTTCAAGATAAGCTAAGAGAAAAAAATCAGCTTTCCATTTTATAAAGGTCTTTATATTTGTGAAAAAGGCTTATCAGTTTCCAAAGATAATTAATGGATTTGGACTTAAGCCACACATATTTGGTATAAAAATTCGTAAAAGATGTCTGGCTAGTTCTGAGTCCATCCACACCAAAAGTGCATTACAGTTCAGTTTATCTTCTTACAGGCTTTCTCAGGGGTGGGGTGGGGTGGTGGAGTGAAAGACAAACTACTTGCCAGACTGCACTGCACAGTGTGACTTTAGTTTCCCAGAAGTGTCTGATGTACCTTTTCAGAGTTGGAGACATATATGTTGTGATTTTTGTTTTTAAGCAACACCCTTCTCTCTGGAACAGTCACTCAAACTCATTTTACACTCTGTCAAATAGCTGCTCAACACAAGAGTCGGCAACAGACACACAGGAGCCAGCGTGGTGATGCCCGAAGCCTCATCTCTCCCACCATGCAGGAGGCAAAAGATGCTGGGTTACAACTTTGCTACAGCAATGGAAAGGAAGGAGACCCTGGACTGTTCCGCCTTCTGCATCTTGCCTAATAATTCTTTCTGCTTAGGCTGCACTTCTGCATTTGTAGAAGGGTCAGCTGTGAAAGGCATGTTCTCTGCCTCCAAGGGTCATCCCCTTGACAGGATGTTTGTGGCATATTCATTCATTTCCGGCCCATCATTTCAGCACCAAAGTCCCATTTTCATGCACGCTGATAAAGCTGTCGTTAGCAGGTGGAAAACAGATGTACAGACGCTACTTCCTTAGGGACAGAACACTGTTCAATCAGACGCAGTGCCTTGCACATAAAATGCATGTAGAATCTGTGAACAAGCTCACTGCAATAAGGCTGTGAGGTCAAGGGAAGACACACTATTTGTGCACAGTGCAAATGCATTTACTAGAGCAGTGTTCATCTTTGGTTTTTTCCAGTACACTAAGAGATGCAGCAGGGTCACAGCCATGGTGACACAGAGTGCTGCGGACAGGCAGACATTCGCCCCTCACCCACTCTACCCCAATCTCGAGGTTGGGAAGGAATGACTTAATGCGCACCATAGCTCCAAATTCTATAAAGCTACAGCATGGATACAGGACAGATCACTGGCCTTTTTGTGCAAATCAGACTATGAGATACATCAAGGTATCAAGGTATCATCTAGGGGCCGAAGCCTGAAGAGGCTGGCTCGGCCAGGGCCTTAGCAGGGCATATGGGTGTACGGCTTTCAGACAGCACGACAAGGGTATCTTGCAGGCTGAAACATCAGAAGAGGAAATATCATACAGACTCTAATCTCGGTAAGTTACCACTAATGTGGCTTGACATTTTCAAACTAAAAAGTTAAGTAGAAATGAGTACCTACTCCAACACCTAGAAGGCAACTGCATTCAGTACACTGCCATTGTTGGAGTCTGGGAAAGAGAAAGGCAAAGTCTTCAAATACATACTTCTGTGCTGAGACTGGTGGAAAGAGTATGGCTTGCTTCGGTCTGGAGAGTAGCTTCTGCTGCTGACACTGGAGCCAGATCTGCTGTGCGGAGAGTCTTTCCGGCCAACAGGTGAGTCTCGGAAAAAGGGAGGGTCCCTTGTATGAGGAGACCGGTCTCTCGCATAATGGGAAGAGTAGAAACTTTTTCTTCTAAAGCCATCTCTCATGTCCCTTTGAAGAAAGGATAAAATAAATTGATCATAACCCATGTACACCAACACAAATGGCAAGAGGTCTAATTACAAGTTCTCCTGCATGTTGCAGTCCTGACTCTCTGCTGCAATGAGTGGACAGAAAGTGTGTCTGTGAAACAGGACTTGGAACACACCACTTTTTCAGTGGTTAAGTAAAAGGGTCTTCTAAGCACGCACAAATTTTAAAATGTGAAATACAAAAGCAACTAGATTCTATTTCTCTATTACTGATAACTCATAACAATGCAACACTCTTATCACAGTCTCAACACCGAAGATTTCCCAAAACAAACACTAAGATGTGTTAGTTCCAGGAAAGTAGATTGTGTCCCTAATCTAAGAGACTTCAAAATCTCAAACATTTTGCATGCTAACATCATACTCGGAACCTTAAATTTTGTAGCGGTTCACACACCTAGACCCTGAAAAGCATAAATTCTAAGCATTTCAGAACACTATGGGCTGGGGAGACAGCTCAGTGGAATAAGTGCTTGCCTGGCAAGCACAAGCTCCTGAGTTTGATCCCTGGTACCACCAAAAAAAAAAAAAAAAAAAAAAAACACAAACCCCTAGGGCCAGTCAAATAGCTCAGGGGATTAAAGCACCTACTTAGGCAGACACAGGGACCAGGAATTCAATCCCCTGGCCTGCTGTGCTGGCCCTAAGACAGCAATTGAGACTGCTTTCCCAGCACTTGGGAGGCTGTAAATAAGAGGATCACTAAGAGTCCGATCCACACAGTGAGACCCTATTCACCCTGTATACTCTGTCCTAAATACCAAAACAAACAAACAAACACAACACCACACCGCTTATCTATGTTCCTGGTTTGTGCTCCCTATCCTGCCCAGGCCATAAGCTGACAGTGTCTACAGGGTGAGGGTCTATCATGCAGAGGGGGTAGCACTGGGAGGGGCCAAGTGCGCTGACAGAACCCAAATACTAGCTACATTCTCTTAATTCAAGGAATAGAGGGTTTTTTCCTAATTGTATTTGTAAATAGGACATCATGTCTACATCTTGTACAACAAACAACCACTAGGAAGGCAGTATGCAATGTGTTAATCATTGGAACTGTCCTACCAATTTGATTTGAAACTGTCTCATTGCTATTTATTTCTCAATAAAATTATGGAGGGAAAAAGAAAAAGAAAGAAAGAGAAGAACCCAAATGCCCGGAACCTTCACACACACCAGAAATCAACCTCGTGCAGAGCACTGCAATGCCAAGGTGAGAAAGCCTGACGCAGACAGTTAACTCTGTGTTCCAAGCTTCAGCCCAGAAGTACAGGGAGAATGCTGCCCATCCCTAAGTAACACGGCTAGACTAAGGGCCCCGTGCACAGGTGGCTGGATTGCAGGGTTAAGTGTGGTAGGCTATGCCGGGTGGACCCCTTAGGCTCACACTCCCACGTGCAGCTTCCTGACCACGTGGAGGGAACCAGCCAGACAGGACCAACACCTCCAAAAGCACGAACCTCAATAAACCTCATCCCCTGTAAGGCGCAGAGTAACTTTCAGCAATGACAAAAGCTGGCACACACAGGACAACTACCATCCATGAACCTCCATTAAAGAAACACTCAGGCAAATGAAAGTTAATTCATGTTTAGCAAACATCCCTCCTATTACAGTACAAACATTATTAAATTTCAGGCATAAGAAAGCTTAGAGACAAACTGAAGCCACGGACTTTCCTTCTTTTTGTGATGCTGGGGCTTAACCCAGGGCCTTGGACAAGTAGGCAGGCACTCCACTCCTGAGCTGCTACCGGCCTACCAGGGCCTTGGACAAGTAGGCAGGCACTCCACTCCTGAGCTGCTACCGGCCTACCAGGGCCTTGGACAACTAGGCAGGCACTCCACTCCTGAGCTGCTACCGGCCTACCAGGGCCTTGGACAACTAGGCAGGCACTCCACTCCTGAGCTGCTACCGGCCTACCAGGGCCTTGGACAACTAGGCAGGCACTCCACTCCTGAGCTGCTACCGGCCTATGACATGGAATTGCAAATCTCAGAAAATAATTTCAGTGTATTAATAGCTCCCACCACACATGTAGGCTGCTGTTCTGAACTTCAGTTGAATGTGAGGTAACTCACACCTAAAATATACCACTACAACAGACTCCATCTACCTTTCCTGAGCCGGGGTATACAGCTCTGCGTATGACTGGCAAGTACCAGGTCCTGAGGGGTCCTTGTGACAAAAATAAACATCCTTGAAAAAAACTAGAAAGGAACTAAACTTCATTTATGACAAATGAGCTCTCACAGAAAACTAAAACCAAAATAAAGTATTAAAAATTCTAATATCCCTGGTCCCGCATGCGGCCCTGGCCTCGCCCCCGAGGTGCACTAGCTGGCAATGCAGTCCAGGCACGCTGGCACACGTCCACAAGCCCAGTGCTGGGGAGGCTGAAAACATGAAGACCACTACTAGTCTGAGGTGCGTAATGAGACCCTGTACCAAATATATAAAATGAAACAAAAAATCAAATAGAGTGAAAACTAGCTGCTAAGCCTAGGGTCACGCCAACATCCAAGGTCAGCCAGCAAGGAAAGGCTGACGCCACCCTAACGTGCACAGCACACACGCAGGCGTCGCGGTGCACAGCTGCAGCACCACACTCGGGAGGCCGAGCGAGGGGGACTGCCGTGAGCTCCAGTCCAGCCTGGACTGCACAGCGAGCCTTTCTCTCAGAAAACCAAGAAAACAACTAAGAAAGGCTACAGAGACACTAGGCAACTACTCAGAGAAGAAGAAACAAGTGGCGAACTACACGGAGTCACAAATCCTGCAGGCACAGGAAAAGACCTAGCCTCCACAGGGTGTGTGCAGGCCAGAGAGCGCCAGGCAGCTCCAGAGACTGAAGTGATAAACATGGACCTGGGACAAGGGGACGAACGCAGGAGGCCCGCACTCAGGTGGCAACGGCGGCGTCTCACACAGCCCACTCGCCTGCCCATGGTTAGCTCTGGGTCAAGGGCCCCTGCGTGGCCACACACTCAGGAGCTACTCTTACTGTTATTGCCAGTTAAAACTCTCTTAACCTCATTTGGTTGACAACTTCACTCTTAGATGTTTGTGGAACCATGGAAAAAAGGAAAGAAACAAAATACAAGAGCACATTTCCTGGCAGCCAAGGAGAGAGCACCCAAGAAGAAAGATAAAGGCTCCCTGCACTCCAGTTTCACTAGGTCTTACTACACATCTGCCTCCAGATGGGAGAAGGCAGAATGCCTGCCTGCCTGCCTGCTTGCCTGCCCCCGAAACTGGGAGCCTCCAGCTTCCCAAGGCCAACACCAGATGGCAGTAGTCACAAGCCAGCCTACAACCCTGAGCGTGGCAGGGGCAGCTGTGAAGACCTGGTTCCAGCAGCACAGAACTACACCGTCTCTCCTCCCTTTCCCTCAGCCTCTCCCACTGCCTACCTGAGTGGGAAGAGACCAAGTCACGCAGAAAGGAGAAGAGGAAATCAACATTTTCAAAAACAGTATTTTAAAGAACTGCAACTTCAGCACACCAGCTCAGCGACCCTTTCTTTCCTTTTCCCAGACAGCAAGGCTGGGCAGCTCCCTTCCCTACCCACTTCTCAAAGGCACAGCTCTCAGGCGAGGGCTATTCTCTCCCAACCACCAAGGGTAAGGCCGCGGTGAGGACTACAGATTACTAAGCAGGACGGATCTCACCTCCCAATCGTGAAAGACCCTCATGCCCAACTGCCAAGCACCTGCAGCACACTTCTGACTGGGTCCTGGAACTCACCCTCTAATAGACCTCCTACTCTCTTGCACTTTCTTAGCACTGATAGTCAGAAAATCTGCTTATGCAATTTCAAAGGGTGGGTTATTTTTAAAGAAATGCCTCATTAGGCCTGCAGGACTATCAGACCCACCCGCACACCCACAGACAGAACAATTTATGTAAAAGCATCACAAATATCCTAAGCGCTGTTTTTGATAATAAAGTAGTAGTTCCATTTTGATCATTAGCTAACTCTCTTTTTCAGGTACCGGTATACAATATACATGTGTGCTTGTGTGCATGTGCGTGTGCGTGCGTGCGTGTTTGTTCTGGGTGAAATAGACCCCAAAGGCATGGGGGACTCACTTCCTACACAGGGCTAGTGAAACCGTGAACAGCAGTTTGCGTAGTCAGGCAGCTCCCAGGGGCAGGAACACTTGGGCTGGGCGGGCTGGGCTGAACTTCGGGGGCAGCAAGGGATGCAGCCCCCTGGCCCACAAAAGGCAGTTACCACCCTCCCTGTGAATCTCCTGAGTGCTGAGGAACATCAGATGCAACACAACCACGTTTTCTCTAAAATCCAAGTTTCTTTAAACCCTACACACAAGCTGCGGAACTGGGTTAGAGATCCTAAGTGCCAACAGTCATGTGAAGTCCACAGAGCCTCCCCTGCACTCTGAGAGGCTGTCCTTAGTGCCAGATGGAGGGGATGAGGCCAGCCCTCCTGGCAATCCAGGAACTGCTGTTCTCATAATCTCTAATTAAAACTCTCCTAACTGCTTTCTATTTTCACTTCATTCCTCAACTTTCTGGAACACGAGTCAGATACATATAGTTAGCAAAATGAATTACATCAATTTTAAAACAAACCAATATGCTTAAAGTACTATCAACATATAATCAAAAGCGCTCCAAGCTTCAATAAAGAGCAGGCAAGGTAAGGGGCACTGTGTGAACAAGAGCCCTCGGAACAGTGAAGCTCGGAAAAGCAACGGTAGAAAACGTTTAGAAGGGAAGGAGAGTGGGGAGGAGATGCTGCGAGGCTGAAAGAGACCCACTTCAGAAGCAGGAGGCACATGACCAGTAAGTACGGAAACCAAGGCAGACTGTCCGACACATCTGAAAAAATGATTCAACGGTTTTCCTGCCAAAATAGGTGGACAAGTTTGACTGACTTTATTTTCATGGAGGAATTTATTTAAACATACCAGAGTTTGAAGCAGAAGGTTAAGT